ATTACTATGGATATGTACAGAGCAGAAAAAACGATGCTTCTCTAAATGTAAAACAAAGCAAGCGCTGTGCGCTAAACAACAACAAGACGAGCAACTTAAACTGAAAAAATATACAAAACGCGTCTATAACTGCTTATGTATTGGAAAATATTGTGTAGTCCACTTAAAAGGCTTAATATATTATTAGTCATAAATATAATTACGCAACTATTGGCAGCACACAAGCTACAATTCGTCTCAAGGCGCGCCTAAAACTAGGCAACAAATTAAGTAAAACACAACGAGCCAGCGAAAGCTACTCATAACTTTCAGCACGGCTTTTATTTATTTGCCGCTTCACTTGAAACTTGCGTATACATTCAAATTTTTATTATAAGAAAAAATTGAAAAAAATCTTTACTTAAAATTCGGCGTTAAATAGCAAATAATGTAACAACGTTGGTACACTTTGACACTCACACAATACCTAATCATCTACAAAGTACTAGGGGGAAAAGTGCATATGAGCACATGAAGTGTTGTTACACTAGACAAAAGATCTTATATATTGAAAGTGTCAATGTATTAAAAAAATGCTACAAGTTTGGAGACTTTGTTCTTGCTTTGGCTTTCCAACGAATATATAGTGGGCACTCCATCTTCTTGTTGGAATCAATTTTTCGCACTTAGATTATATTGAATCATGGATTATTTGTATACAGAGGTCCGTCAAGGTAACTATGCCGTGTGTTAATCTACTAATTCTTTTCAAAAACGGAAATTGCACTAAGAACTCATACAAAGTAGATTCAGTTGTGGGATTCTTTCGAAGGTATTCTCACGAAAAAAACTGTTTCGAACTTGAGGACTTGGTGCAATTCGGGAGTTACTGTCATCGTTTTGACTTTCAAAAGCAAAAGAGAACACAAGGTTAACTCGGGTTGTTAGCCGTTAGGGCTTAAAATCTGCGAGTGAAGAGTTTTAGCCGATTGTGGCGGAAGATTTTCAAGCCAGCGCTGTTAAGCAATCAATGAAACCCAGCGTTCTTTGATTGGAATGGCAATTGGTGCATTGTATTTCTAAATTTCGATTGCTGTTAAGGATTTTCTCAGAACTTTTACCGTTCACATTAGAGATTGTAATTGAAGTCAGATAATATATTCTCTCCGAAACAAAAATATTTATTCAACACTGAACATTATTTTCCAAAGCTAAAGCGAAAAATCTTTCCGATAACTATAAAATAGTGTTGGACAACGATTTCAAGTAACGTTTCAGGTTCTTAAACTCAAAACTTAACGCACTTCAGAAGTCAAAACAGTCTGACCGTATGTCACATGAGTATTTCGGGAAGCTTTAAACTAAATATTTATTTAAGAATTAAGTGGTAGGCGCGAGCAAAGAAAGTGAAAATAACGAAAGGTACTTGAGCAACACACATCACATAACATATTGACTACTATATTTACTCAGATATGCTTGTGGGCGATGCATAACTTGCATAGGTCCTGTCCAATTGGGCAGCGTTAGGCGAAATGTATATGAAACAAGAATTATATTATATTATGTATATGAACTGCATTCTATTGTATGTATGTATTAACTGTGAATTATTTTATATTTATAAATGTATCGTATTTTTTTAGAATCTCTTTACTGAATTCTGGATTCAATAAAATGCTACCGTAAAACGTGTTTAAAACTTATATCAACAGTTGTTATTGTTGTTGTTTCAGTTGTTGAGTTTGGATTAAACTGCTTCTGGGTGAGTATTATTCGGTGTTGTTGTAATAGCGACAGAAAACATTTCAGAAATAATTTCAACTGCATTCTTAAAAACTTGGACCATTCGTACCAGCTTTTTCTCTCCTCGTATACCGACGAGGGAGATGTGGACGGGGAGAAGTCACTAAAGAAGAGGCGTGGTGAGCTTTTTCACGGATGGGTCGAAGCTAGGTGGAAGGTTGAAGGGGTAGTTTTGTGTAAGGAGCTCTCCGTCAATCCTAGCTTGAGGCTGCCAAACCAGTATAGTGAGCAGAAGTGACTGCTATCAAGGTGGTGGTAGACATAGTGCAAAGTGCAGCCTCTTTCAGTGAAGTAGGCACTTGCTCTGACAGCAGAGTGGCAATATTAGTACCGGCTCGCTAACTGTGGGAATGTCTGACCTCCCTAGAAATAGCATCAAATTACTTCATCATCATACTAGTTTGGGTACCTGCAAAGCCGTTGAGCTAACCAGAGGGGAACCCTAGTCCCGTTCACATCGGAATGGAACCGAGTTGTATCTTCATTGCCAACTGCTGCAACATTCAACGTATTCTACAGCTTTAGTCACACAACAGGCTGAAATTCGAGTCGAATGAAGTGGTTTCAAAGCCATTGTGGTGGCGTTAATTTCAAATAATTCAATTAAGATTTACAGAAAATTAAAAAATCAATATAAGACCTTCAAATGTCATATCAACTTCTGTTTAAGTTATTATAGTTTCGGTTGTCGAACTGACTGTTTGAGATAACTGTTGAAAGGTTAAGCAGACCCCAGCAACCCTAGCAACATGTAGCTTTGAGCGAAATTTTATACCGGATTTTGTATAAAATTCCTATGCTGGTTATTTATAACGTAAAACCCTTATTTTCAAGAAGTTTTTCCAATGAGGAGTTACTAGTTTTCAACACTAAACATTAATCGGATTGCGTTCTATTTTCAGTAAATTTGGAAACATTGACTTAGCGGCGAAATAAGTTAGACATTTTCGGTGCGAAACATCAGAGCAAAAATTAGTTTTCAATCAAATTTTTTTTTTCATTTGTCGTATTTTTATTGGAAAGCAAACAATTGGTGAAACTTAACGAAATTATTTAAATATCTAGCGTTTATTTGTTAACGAATTTTTCGATATCAAAAGCAAATACTAGTCACCAGCATTTGTTGATGGGATTTCGGTATCAGGAACTAAAAGACAGGGGTAAGCTATTATGTATATTCTATGAAATTCAGATTTCGAGTAACGCAGTAACATTTGTATATTCTTGTGTTACTGCAGGGGACAGCATAGAACTTGAGCACAAGGAAAGCTATACAACCGAACGCAGTCACAACGGTTATATTAAACGACATAAGACCGTATTACGCGAACGATTTCCACACCCGAATGTCAAGGCAGCGCGCAAGCAGCAGAAACAACAAACAAAGCGCAGCACCTACACAACAACAACACTTAGACCAGAAACAGCATCGGAGCGAAACACCACCACCGAAACATTCGGCAATTCGCCGGAGAGTGGCGCCTTGCTGACGACTTGCCGTGACAAATCGCACCTGGAACGCGCAGTCAATCGCACTTCGGTGCAGTTGAAGCGTTTGGCACATGAAATTGATCATGAAATTGCCAAATTGAAGCGGGAAAGGGACAAACTAATGTTCAGATCGCGTCCGCACCCGTTGATGCGCAACGCTGCCATACAAAACGATCTGCACACGAAAATCGAATCGTTGGACAAACTAAAGGGTATCGATACACAGTTTGCCAAAAATATCGAGTTTACGATTGAAAAATTTTCGAGTCAGCATAAGTTCGTTTGCACTTCACCGCGTTACGCGCGCGACGAGCAAACCTCGTGTCGGCCGCGCATGCGCACAATTGGCCTGCAGAAAGATACGCAACGCGGCGGTGTTGAGGATAATTTGCAAAACCTTAAGGGAAAACTCAACGCTACCATACATTATTCGGCCACCAATCTGGCGGCTTTGAAGACAAAAGGGTTGCTCGACACCACACCGCCCAACTGCTATGCCTTCGATTATGGCGGCACGGGCGATGGGCAGAGCGCTGTGAATGTTTATCACTTGCAGAACTGTCGTTGCGCTGGCGGTTGCAATCCAAATGACTGCAATTGCACGAAGACTTGTGAGCGCTACAATAGCGTTGGCAATTACAATGGCATGTTGTGTAATAAAAACACTTATGTGGAGAAGGCACTTACGCCGTGTAAAGAGTACAAATACTGCCGTGATGAGTATCATTACAATTATCCGTCGCAGAATAAATGTGTAGTGCCGGCGACGAACCAATCATGTGTGCCATGTTCGCCTTGTATGCCATGCTATCAGCCCTGCCAGCCGTGTCAGCCGTATCAACCATGTGCAACCTGTTTACCGCCTTGCCCAACCTATAGTGAGTGTCAACCACCCAAGCCGCAGGCAAAAATTATCTATGGCAGGCGTGTGAGTGACTTAAATACAGAAGATTTTTATCATCCCACCGCCACGCACGCCACGAAAACATTTAAACATGGCAGTCCAAGACACTCAAAGAACAAGGAGCGTTTGACGGTCGATGTACCGAAGGATGGACGCACACTTGTTGATATTGAAAGAAGTGGTGATCGCTCGCGTAGCAAAACGGGTCGGAAAAACGAGAGCGAAGATAAGGCAAGGCAGCGTAGTGCGAAAGCTTATGACGTCGGTTCTGGGCGTAAAGCGAGTGAAAAGCATCAAGTGCGCGAGCGTAAGCCACGTCAGGGGAGTGAATCGTCGGGTAGTGTCGACTCCTCGGAAAAGGCACGTCAAATGAAGAGCAAGGAAAAACTGCTGGAAATAACATTTACCAAGGAGCGGCGTCACAAGCCCTCGTCTGAGTCAGATGAATGTATTACGTACGAGCTGCCAAAGGCAAGCCGAGAGTATTCACGAGAGACAAAACGCTCTCTGAAGCAAATGACGATTACAGCTTATAAACCCTGTAAGCCGGGCGAAAGTGAAGGCAAATATGATTTAGATCGAAAAAAGACGCAAAAGAGCAAAGCACAAAGTGCTGATGACGATAAAACGTGGGATGAACGGTTAAGGCAAATGGAGTATCCACCAGGACCAGATGAATGGCACGCTGGTATTCCTACTATAACAGAAGTTTTAGATGATTACCGCATTGGTGATACCTACGCTAGCAATGTACCTACAATCATACAGGAACCCACTGAAACACAGTATAGGGCAGGTTATGGAGAGTTCTTTCAGCTGTCACCGCAACGAAGCTATGATATAATGCCGGTACAAAAAAATACAGTCCGAGATTTGCCGCCATCTCAAAGTCCCGAACGCGGACGACGTATACAACGAACAAGCCCGGTGAGGCCTGGAGAGACACCAGTTGGAGCGCATGATAGAGAACGAACTGTTAGCGGCACTGGACGAGATGAACAACCTAGAGTTGCCAGCGACGGCAGACAACGGGAATTGTATGAAAAAGATAGATCGGAAGTATTTAGGGCATATGGACTTGAAGAGAAACCCAGAATAGAGAGGGGATACAGATCTGTCGGAAAACAAGATACTGAGAGGAGCTATGGTCGAGCTTTCGATCAGAGGCGATCTAAAAGCGAACAGAAACCGAGATCAGATGAAGGTTACAGACCTATTGGAAATCAAGGTGCTGGTCGAACTTACTATGGACAGCGTACTCCAAGAGACTATGTTCGATCAAGACAAGAGGAGGAAAGACGTGACACAAACACTTTGTACGATAACACTTATGAACCTAAATTCACTTCTAGTACAGCTCGTTCCGCACGTGACTATGAGCGAGGTATTAAATCAGATGAAAGGTACGATCCTCGTGGTTTACCGCGTAAAGTTTATGGTGAGCCTCGGTCTGCGCAAATGCCTGGCAGAACTTACGCCTTGGATGAAACACCCCGTTCGGCTCGCTATGAAACTCATAGCCCAACACCATTACATAGTCCAACACGTAGGATGGAGGATCCTCATGCTTATACTCCAGACACGAAACCTCGTTTCCCTCCTGGGTTGAAATCGGACGATAACATAGAATTTGAAGGATTTTCACCCTCCCACTCCCGCGATGAGTATGGAAAACCAGAAGGAAAAGGATCTCCAAAAGAACATATTAGTGAAACCGACCAGAGAGTGGTGACGGATCCCGGACAAACAAGTGGAAGAAAAGTTATGAAGGAAGAAGATTTTAAACAGGAAGAAGTTACTTTAATGCGTACCGATCAACTTGGAGATATAGGCTTATCATCTAAAAAACCAGAAATTTCCTCCGCAGATATGAAATTTAAAAACGATACTCAAAAGGCAGGCACATCTGAAGATCCCTATAGTCCTAGGGCAGACATTAAGGCTGAGAGTCCAGATACAACTAAAGGAGCTGAGAGCCCTACGTCTAGCACTCCACGTACGGGAAAGCAGCCTACTACGGGTAGAGGATTTACAGGCAGCGAGGAAATATTGGAAAATGTACCGCCAGTTCCAGAAATCACAATTGAGGATACAGACGAAAGTGGTAGCAGTGCACCTAGTGGAAGAGGTAATTGTTTTTTTTTATAGTATAACAACTAAAATAATCTATTTTTATATAATGCTTAGGGAAAAGTCCCGAAACAAGTTTACGCGAGCAGGCTAAATCAGCCATTAAAGGTGGAACGTTGCAGGAACCAGAACAATTAAGATCCCCAAAATATAAAGATCGGGATAAACTGCGCCAGTTGGATAGCCGTAGTCAGCCAGAACAAATAAGAAGCAGTCCGGTTAGACAACCGGGCATCCATGATAGTGCGGTAATAGGTGGAGGCTTTGCTAGATCGGATACAGCTGGCGGCTTGGGTGGGTCTGCAAGCCCACTAAGTCCTTTCCCGAGTCTTGAAACACCAAAAATTTATATGAAACCTCGAGCATTATGCACTGATTACGGTACCGCGTGCTTTCCTCCAACTGAAGACGATTGCACTAGACGGACTAGTCTACGTTCCAACTGCGTTGCGAACGCGGGAGATGCTTATATGTGTAAACCATGCAATACACAGACAACTTCGCCATCAGCGTCTCCACGCCAATGTTTATGTCCAGTAGAAAATGGTAGTGAAATTCCTTATGAAAAGCTAGGCGATCAATACGAACATTCGCCGGTACGCCAATTAGCAGCTAACTCTCATATGGCTGTAGCATTGCAGTCCGATACCGCAATTGCCAATTATAAGCCATTACCTCAACAAAGTTTATCGAAGAGCTGCATAACTTTGCGCTCGACCGGAACACAGTACTCGGCGACGATTATCGAGCAAAAGGAAGATCGCTGTGCACCACAGTATGTACCGCTGCCGAAAGAATGCAGTGAAAAATATGCGGATCAAGCGAAGAGCTCTGCAGCGCCATCTACATGCACATGTGACTCCTCACGTCAGAGTCAAAAATCGCCGCTTTCAACTTCGGATAGTACGAAAAAAAAGTATCAGTTTCTATGTGACGAAAACAATGAGGAGCAAAATGGAATGGTGCAAATAAAGAATAATGAAGAGTGGTGTGGTAGAGTAGAAATAAACTCGGAGAAGAGACAAATTTTCATTGGGCAACATAAACAAAAACCACCAACTCAATGCGTAGATGAGCAGAACTATTTGTTACCATGGCAACAGGATGAAAAATTTATACCGGGCCAACCAATAAGTAGTTGCAATATGACACCTTGGCAAAATGGGCCAATGAAGTTCTTGCAAACGGTACAAAAAAGTCCGCGCCTTCAAAACTACGTGGAACGTAGAACGCCAAGGTTTAATGCCACTATGCCGCCGCATCAAGAAATGCCGGAAGAGGAAGATCGATGTGCACAAGAACTATCACAGTACAAGCCGCAGCCACGTGTGCAATTTATGGAGCAATACAGCAGCTGTGGACCGGCCTGCTATGCCCAGGATGAAGGTATTTTTTTTTCGTCTTTATTATGTAAATGCCTTACTAATTTGGTACATATTTCCTAGCAGCGAATTTACAGAATGAAACAGCAGAGTCTATGCGCAACTGCACGCCAAGAGGTGAGTTAAACAACGCTGACTTTTTTGCAAACAAATATATAGATTTAAAATTAGTTACTTTCACTCAAAGATAAATGAGGGCGCTCTGATAAATACTTGGTTTACGAAAGAAAAATGAAAATTTGGTCGCTCAGTACGCTTGATTGAGTAATACTTCAAGTTCCCTTCTTCTTCTTGATTGGCGTAGTCACCGTTTACGCGATTATAACCGAGTTAATAACCGCGCGCCAGTCGTTTCTTCTTTTCGCTACGTGGCGCCAATTAGATATTCCAAATGAAGCCAGGTCCTTCTCCACTTGGTCCCTCCAACGGAGTGGAGGTCTTCCTCTTCCTCTGCTTTCCCCGGCGGGTACTGCGTCGAATACTTTCAGAGCTTTGCTTCAACGCGCAAAGAACCATAAATCTCCATCAAGTTCCCTTACATGTCTAAAAAAATATGTCGAGCTATGCGAAGTAGGCATTTGTGTTGGCGATAACCTCTTCACATTAGTCCAATTTCAGACCGTAGAATGACAAAAAGAGGTGAAACGAGATCTGGAGATTTCAATAGATGGCGCTACTGTTGGTAGGGTTATTTCACCAATTTGGTCTTGGCGACATCGGAAGTGTGCGCCGGGGCGTTGTGATGGTGGCAAAGAATTCAAAGAATTTTTCCGCAATTCGAAGTCTAATCAGCCAATAATTTAACCGATTTTCCTTTTCGATGTATATCACATTTTATGAACAGTCTTCGCTTTCTTTGGAGCAGCTTTGCCGAGTAAAGTTCACTGTTTCGACTGTTGCTTGCTCTCTGGTGTATAATAGTAAATCCATATTTAGTACACGGTCGCAAAAAGAGGCGGAAACTGCTTGGGATTGCGCTTCAATAACGTCAAACTCGATAAACCAGTTTTTTACGATCGTCGTAGAAGGAGAGGTGTCAGCGTTCAATTTCCACGACAGTCGGCTCTAAGTAATCGGAGCAGACTTGGATTTTTATCCGGCCAAGGACTGTCAACGCGGCACCATTCCTCAAATTTATTTCTGGAATGCTTTCCAACGTTACAACAACAACAAGGGGTCACCGTTTAGAGCATACCCCTTCGATTCCCCTTCCTATTTTTTGTTCCACACATGGCCAAAACAAAACTTGGAGCTCAATTCGACACTAGTTTGCTTACGATAATGTTGTATAGGATATTGCTCTAGCGAATAACCTTCTAATATTTCGCATTAGAGCCTTGAATTTTCAATTGCTAGCTACTAACAAAACACACATGCATACACATACTTTGACAGCACTGTAGTAAAAACTAAACTTTCACTTACCAGCAGAATTCTCAGGCACTGCATACATTTTCTAATTCACAGGACGCCTAAGCTTCGCTTATGGCGGCGAATACCAGCAGATACCGGAATTCACTGGCTGTCCATGTATGTTCAAAACTTATCTAAATATGGTGACACTTTACTATCCCGATTGTCGCGTACAACTGCGGGAGGATTGCGTTGAAATTGAGGACGATGATGATGATGAGTGCAATAAATGATGATGAAATGTTATAATCGTATCAAATATTTGAAGTATGTGCACTAGTGTATTTTTGACGACTACACCGCATTACCGCTAATTTATGTATGTATGAGTACAGCTGAGATGATGATTTGTTTTGTAATTGTTTTTGTTTTTTTTTTTTTTTGGTTTTTTAATGAAATCTGCGTATAGTTTGCTCAGTTTTTGTGCTGGTTCACACTTTATTATTTTTTTGTTTGTACTAAAAACAAAAACGAAAACAAAAAAACAAAGAAAAACGCAAGACATTTTATAAAAATTATTTAAAAGTAAAAACGGAACAAAAGTTAAATGCATTTTCAAATTAAGTACAAAAGCTTGGCTAAAAGCGAACGCTGCTTACAATGTCTGCGAGGGATAGCGTGGACTTTGATCACGTGAGCGCGCCTGACGGAAACGATCATCGGTGAGATTGTGACGCAGTTCCTGATTTTGTATTTGATATTCCTGCGCCAGCGTCTCCTGTTGATGACGACGTTGGCGTTCGGCGTCTAACTCACGCTGTAATGTTGAAGAAAATGCTTTTTAAGTTACTGCTTGAATAAAAAACCATTATGTACTTACCAATAAATCGTCGTTTTGCTGGCGTTGACGCACCAATTCCTGACTCAATTTACTGTCGACTTTTATTTGCTCCTCCAGATCGCGACGCGTTTTCGTCAATAGTTCCTCAAGCGTTTCAGAGGAGACTTTCTGCCCATTCGAGGATTTTTCCAAATCCGCTCGCAGCTTCTCATTGTCGCGCTCAAGCTATAGAAAAAGAGTGTGCAACAAAAGTGTTTAAATTGTAAATTATTATGGCGTACCTTGCGCTTTATCTCGTTCAGTTCAGTTAACTCGGCATTCAGTTTATCGCGCTCTACATCGAGCTTATCGCAAAGCTCCTTGCGCGCGGCCAAATCAACCTTCAGCAGATGTTGTTCATCTAAGGCATCCTCAAGTTCACGCTCTAGTTTAGCATTTTGTGCATTTAGCGCCGTTAGCTGAAGGAAAAAATATAAAAATATATATATTTAATAAAGCACGCACATACAAATACATATGTATATATAATATTGCTTCGTACCTTATCCTCTAGTTGTGCAATAAGTCCATTGCGGGAGCAAATTTCCTGCTTCAACGCTTTTATTTCATCTTCTAATTCGGTGATTTGTCGTCTTTAATGAAAACGGGGTTAATAGCGGTAGATTCTTTCAACATGTTCATTTTTAATTTTTTTTTATTTTACCGCGGCAGTGCTACGTTACGGTTACGTGTGCGTAAATCAAGATAACAAAAGCTACATACTGCTAAGAAGAGAGCTATTGAAATGCTTTTTGCGTTTACATACACTACATACATACATACACGCGATAAAATCAAATAATTAGGGTATATGTCGCGCACAGCAGCAACAACATCTACGCAAGACAAGCAGGCAGAGTTTTTAGTTAATGTAAAGAAGAGGAAGTAAGTAGAAATTTAGTCAATTAACTACTTAGATTTGGTAAACAAGTAAAAAGTAACAAATTTAATTGATTTAATGAGGTAAGAAAGTTTGAACTTACTTGTGCTCGGCTGCTTCAACTTCTAGACTCTGATTATTGCCCTCCAATATGACGGCATCATGTGATAGACTGCGATAATGCTCGAGCATTTCCTCGCGTTCCTTTTCCTGGTGAGAAATACATAAAAATGTAGAAACAAATTTAACTTGCATATGTATATATGACAATATAATATACAATATAAGATTTAGTAAAAAGAAATGCATTATTTTTCCAAAAGTTAGGTTAGGATAGTCTGGTGGGCCAATGAGCATTTCCGATACCAGATGGAGTTAAGCGACTAGGTCTATGAGGAGTAGTCATCCATTAGGATGCCTGCGTTTGACACGAATTTCAACAGACCATGTGACCTCGGTATCTCTTCCAGTGTATCCTTGTCTTGGAGACCCCAAAAGTTCCAAAGTCAGCTTTAGTAATCTGTATCTCGCGTATTTGTTGTCGCGTATGTTGTCTAGTTTGTTTAGAACGGTCGAAACCTCCGTTTCGATTGCCCAAGAGCTAAGCCCTGTCGTTTCGAACAATTTAAATAAAGCTGGACACAAAAAGAAGCTCCATGTATGGGAGCTAAAGCACAAAAAACCCAGTGACCGAATATCTATCTACGAATCGAAAAAAACCATAAATTTTTGAAGCAAATGGCGCTGAGCCGCCGCAAAAGGTGATCAAGCCAGGATGGACGATCGGAAAGGGTTAGTTAAGTGTTTGATGGAATTGGCAGATAATCATCGACAATGAGCTGTCACCCTACCAACATGCTTTTAACAAGCGTGACTTTTTATTAGCCCTTCTATAATGATACATTTCAATACCCACATTAACATACATGTATGTATGTACATAAAGTCTTATGTACACCCACCTTATGCGTTAACAAATCCTCGGCTTTCTTCACCTCCGCTACATATTGACGCAATTGCTGTTTCAATTGTTCGATTTCAAAATTGGAGTCTTTCAGTTTTTTCTTAAGTGTCAAAATCTCTGCTTGACGTTCGGCCAATTCGTTCGATAGACGGCTGAAAAAAGACAAAATGGAAAGAAAATCACATTAGCCACACTGCTACTGAGGCAAAGTTAATCGTGTTAGCAAAGCAATTGTTGCAAGAAAATCAAGTTCACACACCAACGCAACACAGCTGCATATTGCAAAATCAATAACGGTAATGTGTAAGATATTATATACGACCTTTTAAGCCCAAAGTGACGTAAACTTCATAATGGCTTGCACTATAAAAACCTGCTGATGGCTCATTTTCCCATAATAACCATCAAAACATTAAAAAAATATCATGTTTACGTATACATCCATACTAGTACATATTTTACATATAAACACATTCAACTTTAAACTTTATGCTTGTAGTGCACTCGACTTACCCATTTTCCGCGATAGCTTCGTCCCGACTGATTTTCAGTGCAGCGATTTGTTGGCGCAAACTTTTGCTTTCCGTTGAGGTTTCGTGCAGTTCAGCAGTACGTTCACGGGTTTTCGCAGTTAATTGGCTGAAATTAAATATAAGTAAGTAACGAATCGATTTTTTTGTGTTTTGCTAGGATAGACAAAGACTTAAGTAACGAACTCGCATCCTATTTATGAACTAACTTAAGAAGCGAACTTGCATTGGTCTGATAAGAAAATATTAACTAAATACTTAAGTAGAGAACTCCCTTCGTATTGGAAAACAAATGACTTAAGAAACGAATCTGAATTATATTTGGGTTGACTTGGTATTCAAAAGACTGAAGGAACGAACTCGCAACATTTTGTTAAACGAAAGACTTAGATGTACTAAGGACTCAAGTAACGAACTCGCTTCGCATTGACAGACTAAAGACTTAAGAAATGCACAAAAGACTGAAGGAACGAACTTGCAAAATTTTGTTGAATAATGACAATAAGTTACGAAATTATGTACGAAAGACTTAAGATACGAACCCGAATCTTCTTTATACAAAGAAGACATAAAAAATAAATTTCATAGTCTTAATAAAGAAAATACTTTAAGGGGAATTCCAGTAATTACTCTTTGCAGGGTATTCTAGCTTCGATACAAACGAAGTTAACAGTTAAAATTAAAGCTTTAAAGGGAATGAAAATTGCAATTTAACTATCAATGTGTGAATCAATCGTTTTGGGCAAACAGTTACAGCTGAAACCAACGTAATGGCTATAAAATTATGAGACATTAAACGGTAGTTGTACAATTATAAATGAGAGCAAAAGCAAAATAAGTTATATGACGCACCATTAGCAGCAGTACAATGCAAGCTGAAATGAATTAAGAAAAATAAGACTAAAACAAATACAAAATAAGCTAAAATCATTTGCAGGAAGTAGATACATTTAAGGTAAAGGGAATTTAGCAAGGCAAAAGTTGTGCGAGAGCTAGATTTCAATTGAGTCATCAGATGAATGGATACATAAAATTACCTACTCTTTACTGGCTGTAATGGAGTGAAAAAGTTGAAGTTGAAATGTGTAAAAAAAAGATTTTTGAATAAAAAATTGTATGCAAGTGATATTGTTTGACTTCTTGCTTGCTGTTTTTGCAAATAGTTCACGAAAATTGCAAAGCACCCACAAAAAAGCGCAAACAAAAGTTTCTAAGGCAAAAAGTTCAAATATATTTGTAGAAAGGTGAGTTTGATCGTGACACAGGGCGCAGCCGCTAAGCTGGCGCTGGCATTAGAAACTGATTGCTATTATATTACCGTTATTTAATAGCAGAGTTCACATGCATTAACTTATATATATTTACTTAGGTGGAAGAAAAGAGGTAAATGCCAGAAATTGATACCGTGGAAATATGTTAGTGTACATACTAGTAGTATAAGTACTTTATAAATTAGTTGAGAATTGCAACGCGCAACGAAAAATGTATAAAATTTTTGTATAGGATGTTGGCAATTTTATCTACAGTAAGTAACCCTCAGAATAATTTCGCAAAACTTTTAGTACTAAAAGTTGAATACAACAAGCTAAAGTTCATTATCAAGGCTGTGACCAAATTTCGGTTAACGAACCGTAAATCAAAACTATGAATTTACCGATGTGCGTTTCAGTCAAAATATGATAATTCCATTACAAATGGGGCAAGAGCTTAATGGGTGTCACGCATGGTTAACCAGTCGGTGAAAGACCGGCCAACGCACATATCCGCCCTCATTTGTCAAGCAATTTACGCAGTCAATACAAGAAGAGTACACGGAAATTTAATAGTAGGCTGCATGTGAGTAAGTATTTGGTTGTCAAAAAGAGTGTGTGTTCGTTTAACATTTAATACATAAGTATAGAAATGGTTAGTGGATGGGAAAAAAGAGGAGTACAGCAGCAGATAACATATGACATAGAAAAATTTTACCACGAAAAAATGTTAAGGGAAAATAGCGTGTATTATAAACACTCCTTAAATATAAAAAAATAAAATAAACTTTGCCTGAGATTTAACATATGACATTTCACAAATATTTACAAAACCAAATAAATCATATCTTTTATGGTTTGCGCTCGATTTCAACTGCAAGCGCTCACTGAAGTACTAACACCACGCATTATAGACACATAGTATAATAATCGGCTATCACTATTTTCTTTTGTGCTAATTCGCGCATATGAACTCATATATTGATTGACATTTACATTTTATAACAATTGTAGACTGCCATTCACATTTGATATTTAGTAACTGGCAAAAATGGCGTTGTACACATGTGGCATTTGTGCCTTGAATTATGTCAAAGACATGCTTAACCATATTCAGGACAGAGTTTTAACACCCAAGAGGAAACGTCAGAGACGCTATTTAATATACATATATACATAGATATCTTCACGAAATTTAGTACAGATTATTCTCAAAGGCCAAGAAACAAAATGGTTCAATTCTGATCACTAAGCATATAACTCCAATGCAGACTGAACGTCCAAAAATAAGATAAAGGTCATTTACACCTTTTCATACCATAAGAAATAAACCTGTAAAGGGTATTATAGCTTCGGTGGAGACGAATCTAACTTTTTGTGCTATTTATTTTGATTTGCAGTTTCGTTAAAAGAGCATTGCACGAGTACTCACACTTTTCATAACCTTTAAAGTTTTGGTTGCGGTTTTTTTTTTAATTTTTTCTTGACAACTTAAATGACAGGTTAATTTAAAACCGGAACACAGCTGTTAAACTTTTGCTATAGCTTGTAATTAATTTAATTTCCTATGTTTTTTTTAACGTTTGTAACTCTTGTTGGCTTTGCTTAAGTTCAAGTACGTGAGTACATTATATATATGTGCTGCAAATGAAGCGATAAATTTTCAAAACGATTTCGTAGTTACTATTTTTTGTGCAGATAAATGTAACTCTTTACTGCAGAGCGATAAAGCAATGAACTGACAAAACTTTAAGCTGATGAATTCGTAAGATAATCGCACATGATAGTTGAGTCTTGCTTACAATGGAGGATTTGGAGGAGTTAACCCTTAAGAGTTAATCTAAAATCACCTTGCTTGAGTTGATGTTTAGGCCTAATAAACCATCAACATATTTACAGTTTTTACTCAATATGGAATAGAATGTTTCAAGAAAACAGTTGTAATAGAATATTTATTCCAGAAAACAACTACACTTTCAACACTACGCAAATAAGCAGCATCTACGCTATTATTTCAGTGGCATGTGGTTCAGAAGTAAAAGTTTGTTATCTGGAAGTTGTTTCTCTCAATATTTTCTAAACTTTGTATATTTACTAAAAATGAACTTTTGGAAAAAATTTTATAATTTTTCGAAAATTTTAAAAATTCGAAGAGTTTCAATATTTTCACAAATATAAACATTTTTCGAAATAATGCAGAAATTTTAAGATTATTAAACCATTTAGAAGCTTTCAAAATTTTTTGAAATATTTTAGGATTATTGAAATTTTCAGAAATTTTTCTAAAAATTGTTACCAATTTGAAATTTTTTTACGAAGTTTTAAAATTTGTTTCGAAATTTTGACAACTTTTCAAAAAGTTTCAAAATTTCTTAAAATTTAAAAAAATAACAAAATATTTCAAAAAATGTTAAAAGTATTCAACTTGACTTATGTATGTATGTTTCCCAGAAATTATATTTTGTTTTAATTAAAAGTAAAAACTTTTTTTATACTTTTCCAAAACTTTTACCAATTTGACATTTTTTTTCAAAGTTTTAAGTTTTTTCGAAGTTTTAAAATTTTTTCGAAATTTGAAAATTTTTCGAAATGTTGCAGAAATTATAAGATTTTGTAGACATTTTTAAAAAAGTTCAGTAGTTTACAAAATATTTTTTGTTGGAAAATTTTCCATAATATTTATTGAATCTACTTGTTCAAGGCCTAACAATACATACATATGTAAGTGCATATGTAAGTAATAAAATCTTAAATTTAGACCATATATAATATAAATAAAAATTTTTGGCATTGATATGATAGATAACATTTTTGAACATTTAAAAATATATATGAAAATGTATTGCATATAAATTTTTAATAAAAAAAAACTACAGCTATGAGCTCCTACTGCAATTGTTGCAACGAACGATATATCATTATTGGGCAAAAACCGTTTTTCTTTCAAAACATCTGATACCAACGAGGTCACACTTTACTCCGAAATACCAAACGTTCAAGGACAAACTAAAGTAACACCTACCTTTTAATTAAGCGGAAAAAATCTTCAAAAGGTTGCAGCGAAAAGAAATAATATCAACAGAAATAATACAACTAAATAAACCAGTAATTACCACAGCGAGCGAGGCAGCAGTGACAAACGAGTTTGCAATAAATTAAAAGCTAATACGTTTCATTTCTTACAAACGCAAGTCGTATTTATATTTATTATACGGATACATTTATATATTTTTTTTTTCGATTTTGTTAAAAAAAATGCTGAATCAAAAAAGGGAATTTTCAGAATTCGCTAATAACGCGTTATTATTGGTTTCGGTTAGTTGGTTCTGCTGGTAATAACTTGTTAGTATGTAGGTATGTATGTATCCGCGCTCACAAGCATTAGTCACACGTCCATTCATTCATGTCGTCAGCTAATCAAAGTTACATATACACTTGTATATACATAGATACAGTAGAGTACTATGCAAATTAAATTGTCTATTTGTTTAACTTTAGTATAAGAACCATGGAAATGTGCTGCTAAATGAAAGGTCGAACATTGTCGATATGCCAAACACGTTCTTCAATGCCAGCACAAAGCTAGTACATATACTTAAACCCGACATATACACATACATACAGATATTTTCAAAAATATAGGTACATACGTCCGTAAAACACAGTGAGTCAAGGGGACTGGCAGCCATAACGCCAAGGCAACAACACTCAGTCAATGCGTTTAAAGTAAATACAAAGCGCAAGTTCTGCAATGTGTGTAGTCGTACGTGAAGAAACGCTTTGAACCAATTGCGGAAGGTAAAACTTCCTTTCAATGCAATTTTAAAGAGGCACTTTTATTTTTTACGCTATTTGCTTT